ACACATCAAATCAACTCTCTGTTTATACTATTTAGTGATTTCTTGTTGCCCTGAGTTATTGTCATGGTCACTAGGCCTCATGGTTGCTTGCCACTCTGGACTCCTGTGTTTGGAGTCTGTTGAAGAACTCTGAACTGTCCTCATGCCCAGATCTGTTTCCACATATCCTGGTTATTGATGAAGATGGGAGTTTTCCTTTTTCTGTTTTTATTGTGTATGTTTAAGCCTGATCCCAAGACATCCGCATGCTGATGAAGCACTCTGCCACTGAGCTGTACCTGCAGCCTTGGAAATGAGAACTTCGTGATCTGTGCAAGTAGATCTAGTGTGATCTGCCCTGCCTGCTCTCTACTGTCTAACTGTGTATCTTACCAGAATTCCTTTTCTCCCTGGAGTCTGTTCCCTGGGTTGCATTTTGAGCCATAAGTTGTTGAATTCTGCTGCTCCTCATGACCTCATCATGCCTGGATTCCCTGCCAAGCATCATTGCCCCTGCTTGAGTTCATTAAACATAATGACTCTGGCCCTGATGGGAGCCTGGAGGCTTTTTCACTGGTATGCAGAAGTGGAGGACTTACTCATGGGGGTCAAGGTCAGTAGCTGGGTTGAGAGCAGGATTATAAGTGGGTATTACAAGATTATTAGAACACGAGACACTAGAGTTTCTGTAACATGGAGAACAGCTTGGATGCTGTACTTGGCTGCAAAGAAGGTTTGGTATGAGACTGGATTCCAGTGACTAAAAAAGCAGAGACCCACAATAGGTGGCCAATGGAAATGATGTTGTACAAAAATGTTTTATATGAGCCTGTTTTCAATATATAAAATGAAAATATGGAACAGATTAAATGTCTAAAGCTTCCTGAGATATCCAAGGAGTTTTGCAGTTGTTGAAATAGAATACAGTGTGGTACACAAAATATCCCGCAATAAATATGTACTTTTGTAGCGAATATGCAGTCTCTGGGAACTTGCAGTGCATGAAGCTGACCAGAAGAAGGAAGGTAATGCATGCTTCTTTAAAAGCAACTTTCCACACCTTCCACCTGCTTTGGGGCCTGGATCCCATAAGTGAAACTGTGTTTGCACCATTTCACAGCAATCATCGCTAATGGAAGATTTCTGTTTAGCTCAATATCATTTAATTTATTACTTGAAAACTGAAACATTGTTTATAAAGTTTTTGCTCTGTGATTGGGGTTGTGATTTTTGCTCTGTGTGTGTGGTGATAGATTTACTTTTAGGGTTTAAATGCAGGTCTGATGGCGTCTCAAAGTTGTAACATGACCCTCTCCTCATGCTGACTGCCTCTCAGGGTTGCTTTCCTCTCCTTTCCCATATAAACACATGAATGCAAATTACCTGCTGGTTTAGGTGCAAATATATGGTTCTCATCCTTGATTTTACTTTTCTGTCACATCTCACGTTCAGTATGTCAGTAAAGCGTATTTGTCCTGATTTTCCTCTATAACAGGCACCTGACCACCTTTCATCACATCTACTGAGGACAATAGCTCTGAAAGGTGAGCATATACAGACATTAATAGCAGTACTGGAGGAGCCTCATGGGCTTTTTTAGTATATACTTTGTAAGCATGGTCCAAGTCCCAAGAATAGTATATCAAATATCAAGTGATCTTTTATCAAACTCTTCATTTTCCCTTGGCGTACATTTAACTTTGGGGGCAACAGTTGTCTGGGACTATGGGTCACTACACTTTATCCAGTGTACCCCAGAATATTGCAGGAGAATCATGAGTTGATTTTCATAATTTTCTTTTTCACTGTGTATTTTGAACTAATTTATTATTTTGACTATGATGTATAACCGAAAATATTCAATGTTGAAATGGAGCCAGATTTAAAATCACTAAGGGTCTTCTAGAATCATTTGCAAATATCAGCCCCCAGTTTCAATGTGACAGTCTTCCCCAGATTTCAGGTGCTTTCACTTTCTGGCATCTCCTTCTCTCATAGATTTAAACGTCCTTCTTGAGTATATGACCTGCAACTCTTCCACATTGACAGATCAGATATGAGCATTGGTGGATCCCCAGAGCTCACCCTTTCACCCTGCTTTCCTTCTTCATGCCTCTCTGCCCTTACCAGTGGGCGACAGTGTTAGAAGCCCACGAGCTGAGCAGAGAGCCTGATTTTGAGAAGTTAAACTGAAGAATTCTGATCAGAGAAGCAAAGTTAGTGCAGCACATTTCTTTCAAACTGGCAAAGGAAGACACTCCCTGGGTGACCCTCTAATGAGTATAAACATGTGGAAAGAGGCAAAAGCACGGTGAGAGACCTCTTACCTGAAAACTGTGAGGTACAAGGTTTTCCGTATTAGGACGAAGACCAATAGAATCCAATCCCACATATTCTGCAGCATTGAGCAGAGAACGCCATTGTGAAAGTAGGATCTGTTAGGGAGATGCAGTGCACCCTGCCCTGACCCTGAAGGCAATTGCAGAGTTCAGACATGTGATGTGTATGTGAGTCAGTCTGTGGGAGTGGAAAGTCCACACTGCTAGGACTCTTCCCTGCCTAGGAAGGGAATGGTAGGGCTCCTACCACCCCAGGATTGATCTCTAATTCTGGTACCTTTAATAGCCCAGTGTGGAGCTAGCAAGCAACTTCTGGGATCTGTTTTTACCAAGTTCAGTAGAGAGTGTTAGAAACACTTTAGCTGTAACATTTCCTGGACCTCGTGATTAACAGCAAAAGGGAACTCAAGTGAAAAGTGCTTGGCGGGGGTAAAGTTCTATCCGTTCCATGCAGAGAGAATTATTTCCTTGGAAAGAGAACATGAAATACGTAGCGTTAGTTTGCATACTGGTGAGTATACTATCATATTCATTTCTTTCTCTCCATATCAGATTCATCAAAAGAGTTTGAATGCAGGAATTGCCTGGATTTGGTGCACAAATGAACTAGGGATAATTTTGCTTTCCTTTTATTTTTCTATAAATCTAAAAAAATCTAAAAAAAATCTTCCTCTACAATCTCATTCTTTTCATGGATTTTGGGCAAACACAGTCCTTACTCCACAGAGCAAGCAGAGATTCCACACATTACCAGAGCCAGAAGGAGTCCAGTGTTTCATATGTCAGGACAACCTGTGTCCATTCAAGGTGTTAAGTACGGAAAAGGTGCTGAGTCAGAGCTGCTCAGGCACTTACACTGTGGATTTCCAGTCCCTGTCCCAAGAGATGATCAAACTGTGTTGCTTTTGCTTCAAAATTTTATTGGTGTTTTCTGTGTCAGCTGAAGCACTCAACACAGCCAGTATGCACTGTGGAAATTCATTTTGTGGTAGAATAAATAATACATGTTTTTATGTTTCCTTTACATGAAAATAAAAATAATACAAAAGGTGCATTTCTAATTTTCTAAGTCTGCATGTGAGAAGTAATCATGTTTACTTGATTTTTGTGGAGTATTATGGTCTTCCTCTCTATCTGTTTAAATTCAATAATTTACAGTAAATGAAATGAAAGAACTTTGTGCTCATAACGTAGTTACAAAGTCAAATTATAAATGTAAACAAAGATATATCAAAAATGATAACTTTTAAGACTGGATTAGGGCAGACTTACTCATCTTCCATATTCTTGCCCTTGGATCCGAGGACCTTTCCTAAACCCTGTGCTATTTTCCTCTTTTGTATTAATGTATCTGAGCAGTTCTAATTGAAACTTGAATGTTTTATGAATTCAATGTATTTATATACAAAAATATTGCAGAAATGAATCTATTCAAAGCAAAACAAATGGTCAGCTCAAGCTTATTAAATAAAAAATTAAAATACATTTTTGATTGTTAATAGATCTGGACAAATGTAAAGTTTTGAGATCAGTTTAACAGTGTGCATTGGACACAATATTCCCTGATATGTCAGTGCTAAATACTGGTCCAATCTCTTATAAATATGTTTATTTTACAGCATTTTGCAAGCTGTATCTATTTTACAAATTTTTGTTCAATTTATTTTCAGCATTCCTGAATCTAATATCTAGGTAGAACATTTGTTGTCTGTCATTTCCATTTCTTTGCATTCAAACTTAAATTACACTTTTCTTTTGTATATTAGAATCTCTGACTTTGTGATCTAGTGGCTCTTGAAAATTAAATCGTAGAGTTTGTTGCAAATTGAGGATGGTCTTGCACTTGAGGAGACAGGTTTTCATTTGGACACATCATCTGTAAGGCTATCTTCCACTGATTTCAAAGTGGATAAATCCTGCATCAGGCATTGTTTCTTCTGAGAAAATATTCTTCGTAGTTTTGGTCCATAGTCATGATTTTCCTGAGAGATCTTCTTTGTACTCTCTCCTTTTCTCAGCTTATTTAGTGTCTTGTTTTTAATTCCTAGTTGTAGGATGCACAGAATGCGTGTTACCCTTTGGCTTACAATTCAAATTCTCAGGTTCAGTGTGGTTACCACAGGATTCACAGAATGAATCCTCAGCCCATCTTTTGCTGTCCACCTATGCATGAGATGAAAATTGAGTATAAGGTTTTTCCTGTGTTATTCAGTAGCTTCAGGGGAAAAGTGGCTTTGGATTTCAGACAAAGTTTTTTCAAAGAGAGTAATAAACTTGCCCTAGAAAATGACATCTTCCTGTGTTTCCCTTACTTTTCTTCATCACTTTTCTCTCTTACCTTGTTCTCCAATTGTTCCCATTTCTCCCTGATGTGTTTTTGGGTTTTTTTTTTCTAGTGTGGTGTAATATTTCACAAGACTTGTTAATATAGGGCAGGTAGCCTGTGATTTCTGCCAATTAAACCCATTTAAAATTCATTTTTTTTACTTGAAACTAAGTCATTTTTTCATGCCATCTAGTGGATGTGCAATAATAGAGCCTTTAAATTGACTGCTTTTTTTTTTTCTGGTCACACCAACACATTTTCTGTAATGGTATTTTTGGTTCTTTTTTTAATCAGTTCTTTCACAGCCCATCACCCTTGCAGTTTGCTTCCTTATTTGCTACTTCCTTTGCATAAGTCTCCCCCAGCTCATTGCAGCTGCAAAGATGCTATAAGAGAAGTCTTTTCAATAGGGTCTGAACTGCATTGCCACAGAAAGGACAGCAAGATGGTTTGTCAGACCCCAATGCTCCTGACTGTGTTGCTCTGGGTCTCTGGTGAGAAATTGGAAACCTCCATGATTTCCACAGAGTGATATCATTGTAGCATTAATAAATTACTTTAAGAAGTTGAAAACAATGATTATTTCTATGAAAAACATACATCTGTGTTACCACAGAATAGCTTTGAATATACTAAATGTTTAATTGCATTATTTATATTTGAAAAGTCTTTTATGTTTATGCCTGTATGATCACCATTCATTCTTGAATACAGGTGTCTGCAGTGACATTGTGATGACCCAGTCTCCAGCCTCCCTGGCAGTGACTCCTGGAGAGAGAGCCACCATCCACTGCAAGTCCAGCCAGAGTCTTATATACAGTAGAAACAACAAGAACTACTTAGACTGGTACCAGCAGAAACCAGGGCAATCTCCCAAACTGCTCATCTACTTGGCATCCACCCGAGAAACTGGGGTCCCAGACCGGTTCAGCGGCAGTGGGTCTGGCACAGACTTTACTCTCACCATCAGCCCAGTGCAGGCTGAAGATGTGGCAGATTATTACTGTATGCAGACTTTCGGTACTCCTCCCACAGTGATTCAGCCTCGTACATAAACTTCCTCTCAGTATCTCCCCAGCTGCTTGCTCTCCAAGAAGCCCAGGACTTCAACACTTCCTCCTGCTGCCTGAGAGATCATGATCTGGAGTATGCATTTTTGGAGATATTTTTCAGAGCTTAGTACGAATTAATGTCACTCCCTGGTTCTTGATTCTTTTAGTATAAGAAATTCGTATGTAGAAAAGAGCTCTGTATTAGCTTCCTATTCTTTATGTTTTTATTTGCTACAAGCTCAAATTCTTTAACACAAGAAATTCATTAGTTTAACACTTTTGGTGATATCTAGAAGGGAGAGACTAAGGCCAAAGGGATCATCTAATTCTAATTCTTTGAAACAATCTCCATACTGATTTCCAGCATGGTGATGCCAACTTAAACTCCTGCCAATATTGGAAACGGGTTATTTGCTCTGTAGCCTCCAGTTTTTGTCATTGTTTGCTTTCTTGGCAATAGCCACGTTCCTGTGGATTTAGATGAAAACTTACGTTGTTTGAGTTTGCATTTGTTGAATGACCAGTGAAGTTGGGCACTGTATCATATATTTATTTGCTGTTTGTATTTCAGATGCTTACTTTTGGATTCAGCCACAGCAATCTATGTACAACCGTGCATGTGGTGCACTTTTTGATAACTTAATCTTGGAAACCATCTATATGCTCTTTTGCAGATTAATGGATAAGGAAAATGTGGTTTATATGTTCAATGTAGTACTTCTTTGCCATATTGTAGAGTAAATTAGGGTCATTTTTAGGTAAATGAGTGCATCTAAATCATTTTGTATGAGAGCAACTGGACACACATGTTTAAATATTGCATTGTTTTTCTTAGATTACAAACTCAAATTCTAAATAAGGATCAAGATGTAGGACAGATTTTAGGAATTAGGAAGAAAATGTACAAAAGGCAAAGTAAACCAGGAACGGGGCATAGGGACGAGAAAGAAGGCAATAGACATTAAAACTATGCAAAGAATGGAAGGAAAGCAATAGTAACAAAGTTCTGTAAATGAAGAGGAGAAGAAGGATTGAGTGGAAGAGAATGGGAAAAAATAAGCATTATGATACACTGTATACTGGTACAGATTGTCTAAGATGAATGTGATGATTATTCCTGGCAACAGATACTGATACAATTCATTAAAATAAGAAATGCCATCTTTCTATAGTTCAGATTTGGTGGATAAATATCCAGACATTCTCATGCCTCCAGGAGAGAGTCTTTCTCTTGCCTTTCACGCTGCTTGATGTCCTCCTCATGCCTTGGCCAGTAGCCCTTTTCTTCTAAACACAGAGCCAGCACCAGCTCATCTCTCTGACATTTCTTGCAGCATCACACATTCCTCTGTAGTTTTCACATCTGACTTCATGCTAATGATGAAAATAACTGTGTGTTTAGCTGAACCTGCCCTCCAGTCCCCTCATCTCACTAGAATTGTCCAAATTCAGTGTTTGGCATGGCAAAGTTCGAGTCTCCGTGGGAACAACAACTTAGTATTTCCATTATAGTCACTTTTGAAATGGAATTGAGCCCTTACCCCGGGGCATAAAAGGAAGCAATATTCTCATACTTTTCAAATAGTGATTTGTGACCTCACAAGCTTCTGCTATTCCATACTGAAGGAAAAATGCACAGTGGGCATCTGAAGAAGCAGAGCATTTATATAAGGAGCAGGCAGCAGTGTGATTCAGGCGAGTCTGAGATGAGTGAAAGTTGACCATATAGGGACTTGAGAGTTCTCAAGTGTGCTGGCTTGTCTTATAATTTCAATATAGTTGTGAACAAATAGCTTTGCCTTTGCCAAATATTATACAAACAGGCATGCAGAGAGAAGTTTGTATTGCATGAAAATTTTGTCTTTTAAACATTACTTAATTGGAAAAAATTTATAACTGAGCATGAAATCCATCTCTGCGCTTATTGGAAGTCAATCAAATGGGCATAATCAAATATATGGAAAAAATCAGGTTTTATCTGTGACTAAAGATTATCTTAGTGCAAAAATTAAAGATAATTTATATCTTGGGGCACTGCATAGAAGTGTTACATTCTAGATTGTGTGATATCTTAAAGGATACTTTGTACAAAACAGAAACACAGAATTTCCTAGGTCCTTGCCTCTGCTAGGTAAGTGCTTTAACAGATCTACATCCCAGTAACCCATCTGCCTGTTTCTTATAAGAATGGTGAATGTGTGTGGAAGGTCTTGGGGGAGGCTGGTGTGTGACCTGGGTTTCAGAGAAATTCTACATTGCCCACAGAGAGAGGCTGCCTAGGTGTTAGCCATAGTGATGCCATCAGGGCCTTGGACTCAGCTTAGGCTTGTGTGCTCAGAAAAACCTGGGTGCTATTTCTGAGCTGAGTGGAATCCTGCTCATGCCTGCCCACATGCTGAGATCTTCACTTGCAGCCTTCTGGTAGCTGAGCAGTGGCATGCTTTCTCCCATCAGGAAGAGCCATACTATGTGGCGTGAGAGTTTAACTCAGAGACAAGATTAAAATCTGCAAATGCATCCAGTGAATCTCCTGTGAGTTTCCATTTCTCACTTGAAAACTAGGAATGATGAAATTGCCTTGAAGGATGAATAGCATAGCATATGTGAGTTTCTTAGCATTGTTTACGTAGATCCAGTCACATGGGAAGCAAATTTATAAATAGGTGTAAATGAGAACTTTCTTTTGCTCAGTACTAGCATATTATTTTAAAAAAATCAAAATAAAAGTGAAATTACTTTGTTTCCTTAACTTGTCAAATCTTTCTCATTTCACCAGGAACTCATTCACGATTTTAGGGCTCTGTCTATGACTTTGGTCTTTGACTTCTGTGTTTAGAATCTGTCGATAAATGTGAGATTTGTCAATGACTGTACCCATAGACAAGCAGATGGAAGAGACAGGGCTGGGTGGAGATGGAATGGGTTTTTCTTCTCTCGCTTCTTTGTGGGATGGAACCAGTTTTGGACAGGACTTTCACAGCCTAAGAATGGGCTCTGTAACTGAGGTGCACCCATAGTCAGAATTGGCATATTCAGGAGTTCTTAAGTAGTAACAGAGCATCTGTCCTCCTCTGCTCTGATATCAGTGTTTCTTACCCTGTTTCGTCTCCTCTCCTCCACCTACTCCCTGGGCCTCTTTTCTAATCTCTGAATGTGCTGAATTCTTTTTGTTCATATGATCATGTGCTTCCTTAATGTCAAGCCAGGTGACATTACTTCTTCCATGTACAGCTCAGATTAAATCCTCAGGATGACTGCAGCAGCAGCCAAAGCCTGTGATGCCTTTTCTAAGGGGTCATTTTTTTCATCCTCCTTGTGGCTGGGAAAATTTTACATTTGTAATCCCATGGAAAGGGTATTAGAATCCCAATGAGTTACTTCCAATCTACCATCTCCAGTGTAACACAACCAGAATAAAGACACTACAGAATATTTACAGTGAAAGACAACCAAGGGGTCCTGATCCAATCTAGATGAGAGTGCACAGAACAAGGCCTCCACTGATCACTAAACCAGTATTAACTATTTTATGAAAATCGGACTGGCTTGAAAATGAGTGATGGAGAGAATGACAGTAATTATGCGACTAACATGATCTGCACTAGATAGCTAACTAGAAAGCACCTGTGCAATATGTAAAGAAAATGGGGTGCAAAAAGACCAATCTGCATAACATGAATGAGGTACCAGTTAATATTTGGGAGTCAGGTACTTTAGATCTGTGGCACAAACGTTCTTTTTTTGTTTTGTTTTTTGGTTTTTTTTGGGGGGGGGTATTTTTTGGTCTCTGGAAATCATAGCCCATTATCTTGAGGCTCAAGACAAGTGACTCTCTGGTAGCATTTGCTCTACCCTCCCTCTATGGTCAGCCTTTTAGAGGGAGACACAGGCGAAGAAACAAAGCTGTCACTTGGCTTCAGAGATTACACATCAGTACTTCAGCCAATACTATTTACTTTGCTCAGAGCCAACTGAGGAGGAAAGGAGACATCTTAGTCAGTTCTGTACATTGACACAGGACTAGGATTATATTATAGTAATGATAAATTATTATACATAGGGGATGGGGATTTAGCTCAGCAGCATAAGTGCCTGCCTTGCAAGCAGGCAATTGTGAGTTCAATCCCCGGTACCAATAAAAAGGAAAAAGACAAGAGAGAGAGAGAGAGAGAGAGAGAGAGAGAGAGAGAGAGAGAGAGAGAGAGAGAGAGAAATTATTATACAATTCTCACCTGGGTGTTCTCTCCTCATTTTCAGTGATGGCTTCTCCTCATATCCTGACACATGTGTGTTTGAGGTTAAATGCCAAAGCGCAGCTCGGCTTCTGCTGTTTACACTCATTTAATACTTGATCTCCCCAAAATTGTGTCTCCTGCTTAGACTACTTGGCTATTCTTCAGAATCACACATATACCAGAATCATTGCCATTTAGATGTCCAGTGATATGCTATATTTCTAATATATTCCAATTCAGTCCTGATTCCCAGATCCCCAAACATGGTTTTGTCTGTTTTCCCATGTAACAAGCCATCTTCAAATTCTAGTGGCTGAGAATTATGTGTATAGCTAGTGTCTTCAGTTTTATTAGTCTCTCTTACCTTGTGTCCAGTATGGCAGGAAAGCTTATTTATTCTGCAGTTACAGTATGACCATAGACTGCCCATCTTTCTCTACAGTGGCCAATTGGTTAAGGTGTTCAGCGTAGAAGGCAAATTGTTATTTCTTAGAAGTATCAGACTATGAACTATAAATTAGATTTCATAGTAATAAACTACTATAAACTATGTTTCACAGTAATTTGAAAATTTTTCCAGAGCCTAAAATCATATAACAGAAATTAATGATTCCTGTAATGAAATTATTTGTGGCCTGTTCCACAAGATATGTTGGGGAAAATGGTAGTCTTGGTAGAGGATGTTCAAGGAAAACTAGAAACAGACTATTGAAATTTACTTGCTGTCTTGAATGTGAGATCGACGAGAGACATACACTGCCAAATTCTAGAATTACTAATTTTCAACCTCTAGTTATATGGAGAAAATTTAGAAGCAAGGCTTCTTTGGAGCAAAATCCTAGTAAGCTTTGTGATTAAAAATGGAGAGTAAGAACCTCACCTTGTGCATTGATACCTTGGAAAGTTGAAATCAATTGTTATGTGGCATATTCTTAGAAATGTTCACTGTCCCTTCATGGAAGTTGTCTAACTAGATTTTGGAGTAATTCACGCACTAAATAATGCAGCCTTCAAATAGGATGTTGTATTAGCACTCTTTTTGGAAGCAACACATACCAGTCTCAACAATCAGAAACAAAACTGACAATGGTGAACAATGTATTGAGGAAGAGTAGTTACACTAAAGATCTTGCTTTGAACCAGTCTTCCAGGGAGACAAAAGTCTCTGACTCTGTCTCTGCCTCTGTCTCTGTCTGTGTCTCTCTCTTGATTTACAATTGTGGAGGTTTCAATCCCTGACTGTTGGCTTCCTGGTTTTGTTTTGGAGATGCAGCACATCGTGGAAAGGATTGTGAGGCTGAGCAAGACTTGCTCAACTCATGACTGAGACATGAAAAAAGAAGGTACCAAGGTACCATAGCTCCTCTGGAGGGATTTCTCCTTTAAAATGTAAAATCTCTTACTCAAACAACCAGAGCAAATATTTTACTACATAAATTAAGATGTGTTCCTGGGGAGGATTCCAGCCTATAATTTTACAAAGGTACCAGAAGAACTTAGTAAATCTCTGGGCTTAGCAGTAGGTAATTTTGCCTTTGGTCAGTGTCCTCTACTAGACAGGGGGTACACCTGGGACATGTGTGAGACCTGAGGTTTATGCTTGGTATGAGTTTGCATTGCTAGTGATAGCACTTGAGTTGGCCTGGACTTTGTTTTTGCTGCAAACTGAAAACATTTTCTTTACTGCTTCTATCAAATTCATAAGGGAAAATACACTGCCACTTCCATGTGGTGTAATAGGGGGCAATATGAAGCCAGGTAGCTTCACAGAAATCTTCCCAGAGTGTCCATTTTACATGAATGCATTCTGAAGAAATATTATGTTTAAGTTTCATCTGAATTTGTCATGCACAAATATGTTACAATTTACACACACAGAATAAAAGGTACAAGTCTTTCTATGAGAACTAGATAAAGTTTGTAAGAGAAGCATTAAGCATCACAGCAACATTGGGAGAGAGGAAACTTAATTCCTAGTGGAAGTTTTTGGAGCAAATGATTTGCACTTATATAAGTTTACAAATAGTTTTACATTTATATTGTTTTTTTGGCATACACTTTAAACCAGTAAAATCTTGAGGGAAGTGGGAAAGACACAAAATTAACAGTTTAAAAATTTGAGGAAAACCTCAGCTCTGGCAAGAACTAAGTGACCTAATGAAGTCATTTATGTTCTGGCTTTCATTTTCTCATCTCAAGGGTGTGATGAATGAGGTATGTTTTAACATTTAGCTTGTACCTTACTGAGATGAGAAAGTTAGATGGGAGGTCCTGCTTGGAACATCATGAGGATAGTGTGATCACCAAAAATCATATGAACACATGGATACAAACAGGGAGAGTTTTCAGTTTCCCAGTGATGTACTTTCTGCTCTACTTTCTTACACAATGCCTGGAAGATGATTTGGTGCACCTGCAAATAAATTCGACTATAAAAGTCACCTTTGGAAATATCTTATTTTTAAGTATATATTTATTGAATTTTACATTTAACTGGTGTAAAAACAAAGCACAGACATTAATCACTACCATCATTTTTTTTCTTTAATGCATTTATATCTTATAGGACAGGCTGCAATACAGAATGAGGTCATATTTCATGCCCATGATTGAGAAATATTTTGGAAGCAGTGTTCTCTACACCCATATTCTCCACCAGAGCTAGGTCTGAGCTGGGCTGTATACAGTCACTCTACCACCCGAAGTGATGTATCTTCCACCATTTTGTGTGTGAACCAATGGTGTAGCATAATCCCTACAAGTGCTGCAGAGAAAATTGGGACCAGAAAACTGTGGGTGATTGTGCTTTAATTTTTCCTCAGTAATAGTATTCTTTAAAATCTATGTTTAACCAACTGGAAATCAAAAGAAACAAAGTAAAATCATTCTCATTATTTTGATTAAAAAGACTTAGATTTTAATATTTTATGTCATTATGCTAATTCAAGGAGGTTTCAATGCTTTCACAGCTTTCTTCCTGACTTACATGATTTTACTGTCATATATATCAGGTCAAACTATATTTGTAAAATATTGTAGTAGTTTTATAGAAGCCAAAGACTTCCACATGTTTGCTCACATTTTAGTTTCACTTATTCCATGCCTTCACTCCCTTTTTATTTTTGTCAAAATCATTACTGCAAATGCAGCAGCTTAAAGCACAATTTTATTCTCTCAGGTTTTCCATGAGTGAAGAATACAAAATGCTTGTTAGTCCAAATTGGCTGGAGCTGGCTTAAGATTTTCTTTGGATTGTAGCCACAGTGAGTCACAAAGACTTCCCTGACGGCCTTCAAGATGAGCCACTCATTGGCTGGGAGTTAATTTTGCTGGTGATTGGCAGAGAACATCACCATTCCTCTGTGAAACTCTTCCTTGTACTGCCCGCGTGTTCTCACTAGGTGGCGCACGGCTTTCTCCAGACCTGCTTACACTAAACAGCGCTCAGAAGTCATAAATACCTGTACCCTAATTATGAACCCCTGAAAAACAAATTAGGAAAATAATGAAATTT